TCTTAAGAATTGTGTAACTTTTTTGATAAGAACTGTAATAAATATGAAAAAAAACACATATCAATCTGCGTCACATCTATGTAATATTGAGACTATTTCAGGATTTTATTCTGGCAACGGTCTTGACACCGCCGACAGTTCGTCGCAAATAAACGCTGGAGTTGTACATGATGTTTGACCGTAAATATGTTTGACAGTGGTTCATTATGGGTAAAATTTAACAATGTTCTGATTGTACAAACTCCATAAAAATTGGTAAGTATCATGTATCAAATTAGGAAAGAAATACACACGTCCACATGAATTTTATTGGTGTCCATAGACAATATCAATAATTTCCACCTCGAATGACTTGAGCGTAATTTTAAAAGCTCCGAATGTTGGAAAATTTATGCGCTAATGAATAAAAATCAAGTACCAGATAATAGTTGTTTATTTTATCTAAATTATGTCGAAATTTCATGGAATTCCATGTTTACAGCAGGCAGTCCGTAGTCGTGCAACGTTTTGATAACAGCTAAACTCAGGATTGTCGTCTAAATATAGAAATTTTGTATATTTGTTTTCCTAGGATGTTCTCGATCCATATTCTGCGATATATATTGAATTTAATATTCAAGTCTTCAGAAATGTAGAATATATATTGTTGAATAAATTGAATGGATTTCCCAATTTTTGTGAATTTATTGTATTGCATTGACAAAAATATTTGTCCGGCCCGTTTCAACACAGTTTGAGTCATAATTTCTTTCGAAGCCCCATATTCCCACCTTGGGGAATTTATGTGTGATGTAAAGTTTGGTAACCCCTGGATTAGAGCTATAATCAAGGAAGATCATAAAAATAGACATTTCGATTTAAAAAGTTCTACCCCAATTTGATATGGAAGATAAGAGAAGGGCAGTAATTTTTGTTCTCTTTCGTTCGCCTATAGTTGTAGAAAATGTACAATGCTCACCCAATAGAATGTGAACAATAAATTATTGAAAATGAATATGACGAGAGATTTGAAATGTGACATCATGTTTCTAACTGTGACGTAGGTACATTGGGTTTCTCGTTTTGTTGCGAAAAATAATGATCTTGCTTATTTCCTAAATATATCGTTATGTTATATGCCTCATTCATCACCTCCGGAAACCATCCATCTTGACAATTTCTCAGAAACGACTGGTATTGTTCAGCGACATACTTTAACAATGAACTAGTCCACTGATTCACAACCTATGTTCCGGAAACTACGTAAATGCAAGCTTTCTCGACAAACCTGCTTGGAATGCAAGATAGTTTATTCAAATATTTGTAAGGACTTTTGAATAAGAGATTCAACATTACGATAAGTTGCTAAATGAGGTTGAATACGCGTATTCGAATAAGACATCCTTACCTCAGTAAATCCAATACAGTGCTTAACATACGCAAAGAAAAATATATTTTGCTTACCAAACAGAACTCTGAAAATAAACCTATTTTAACTAACCTAAGAAACAGTCCATATTGAGTCAAAAAGTTCAAGGTTAGTTTTAAATATACAACAAACGGTATTAAAGGAATTGCAGATACGTCGCATGAGAACTAGTAACTGAAGTCGATATCCCTGCATCGGTTGATGCTTTTGCCCGATACAGATATATATTATGAAGCGTGCCAATAACAGTCGATATAATTTCATACATATTCCTTCTATGTTTCAACGTAAGTTGAAAACGAACTTCTTCGAATTCTGGTCGGGGAAAATCACATTACAAATTATAGATATATCGCAAAACATAACATGAATTATGGCCATATTTTGAGCTATCTAGTCAAGTACAAATATAACAGGCCTGATTAAGATCGAGAGTACTAAACTTTTAAGGGCACAATATTACATGCGTTAATACGTATACAAAAAATACATATTATAGTATGATTTAACATTACTTCTTTCAACCTAAATATATTTCTTTTTAAACTCGCGCGGTAATTTTAAAGGACTTTTATATAAAATTTCTGCATATATATAAGATATATATATCGGGTATGTAACTGCGTCGACCATTTGCGCAGTAAAATCTCATTCTCGCGCACACAAAGTGTGGGTCCTCATATTTTCTAACGCCGAGATAGATGTTCGTTCCATGTTCAAGTTACATGTGTACTTTGCTCGCATTCTGATAATACTGTTGTAATATTTGACATAGTTTGTAGACTCTGCTCAGTCTTAAAATATCCATGCTCACTAGAACAACATTTGCCCACTGTAACATTTTTTTAGACGAAACACTGCGCGTCACGCAAGTTATCCGAAACAACAAAAATTTATACGGCCATTAGTCACGCCACTAAATTTGACACAATTCAGCAGGTCAGGAATATGATAATCAGCTAATCCTCTACAAAAGGTTGCCCTTTCCAACGAATAAATAACAGAACCTTACCTATCAATAAAAATATTGAGAAAATTTTATCTATTTCTCGAAATATTCCGATGCAAAGATACTTTTGTTCTTTTTAAACCACACAGTGTCTAATGACAAACAATTTGATGCACGACAAGCTGTCCACATGAAAGTATAACTGAATCATTTGCGTAGTGCGTGTACCAGGTTAGTGATAGGCCATTATTTTATTCCGATTTCTTTTATTTTAATTCCCCATTTTAGTTTCGATTTTGAGGACTGTAGTGTTAGCCAAGTGATATACCCTCTGCCCATAGTGTTCCGTCCCCATACACAACTTGATGTAAAGTAGGCGAACAAAATTTGTTACGTCCCTATTGGTACACATACTTCTGGAGCGCCCCATATTTAGAGTTTATTTGCAGAAAATGTACAACAGACTACTAATACAACCTCCTACACCTACAGTATTTATTTTTGCTTCGTCAAAATTACAATATCTGCGAGGGTTACCTTACAAGCTAGCTGTTTGTTTATAGTTATACTAACGCCGCCTTCTTTCATAAAATAGAACACGGCACATTGTATGCACGTCCATATTTATTGTTTGACTATTTATATCTTGTCATACTCTATCCAAACTGGCAATACGAAAAGTATGCCGTTTGGCACATTATTGAGTTGTCATAAAAAATTTTCTCTCTTTTGAAATAAAAATATGTCGTATGCTACTCCATTACCCTTTCTTCTGTGCCTTTGAAATGGAAAGAAATAAACATTGGGGGAGAAAACAAACATAATCCAAAATTCCAACCGACTTCTAAATAACAACAAAAAAATTGATGTCAAAAACATTGGAGTCTGAAAGACTCAAAATATATAACACCAATATCCCGTCTTGAGTTATTTTAGGAATAAATGTGCTGTTTTAGAAGTGGTAATACTGCCAAAAGCAGGTTCTGTTTACGTAGAATGCCGTAGGAGAAGGGGGTTCTAAGGGTTTTACTATCGGTACAACAGCAAAAGACACTCCAACGTCCAAGTCTCAATATTTTAACAGGATTACAGGGACTGCTACATAAATATAGATTAGAGCTATAATCACGAAAGATCACAAAAATAGACAATACCTATTTAAAAAATTCTTTCCTCAATTTGATAAGGAAAAAAAGAAGTTCGTTCGCCTACAATTGTAGAAAATGTGCATTGTTCACCAAATATAATGTGACAATAAATTATAAAGAAATAGGCGCTCCCGTATTATGCATACCAAAATGGCGCCCAACATGATAACCCTAACCTGGTAAACATACTATGTTCAGGCTGTGCGCCATCTTGGTACACACACTACTGGAGCACCGAGAAATAAAATTACGAGTGAAATGAAATGTGACGTCATGTTTGAAATTGTGACGTAGGTGCATGCGGGTTTCTCGTTTTGTTGCGAAACATAATATTTGTGATGTTTTCCCAAATATATATTTAAGTTATATGCTTTATTCATCACCATTGAAAACCATCCATCCTGATCATTTCTCCGAAACGACTGGGCGATTTTCTTTAACAATAAACTAGTCCACTGATTCACAACCTACGTTCAGGAAATTAGGTAAATACAAGATTCCTCAACAAAACTGCTTGGAATGTAAGATATATTATATTCATATATTTGTATGGGCCTTTGAATGAGAGAATGAGATTTAACAATTCGATAAGTTGCTAATTGAGGTTGAATATGCCTATTCGAATAAGTCATCCCAACCTCAGTAGCTCCAATACATTGCTCAACATATGCGAAGGAAGGTGCCAAGTTTTCCTAGCTAAAACAAAATGTTTTGCCTACCAAGTTTACTTCTTTCTTAAAATATTTACACGATTTCTTTCAAAAAAGAAAAAAAAAGATGTTTTTCTTACCAAACACAACTCTAAAAATTTAACTAACCTAGAAAATAGGGCGCTCCCGTAGTATGTGCATCAAGTTAGGTCTAGGACACAATTTTTTATTCCAATTTTCCTTATTTCAGTTCTACTACGAGTTCGGGGACTAGCCAAGTGACTCCCGTAGTATTTGTACCTGAAATTATGGTCTAACCCTAACCCGATACACATACTACGTTCCGGTGTCCGCCATCTTGGTTCACATACTACATGACTACCGAGAATAGTCCACATTGAGCCTTCAGTAATTAGTTTAAGTTTAAAATATACAACAAACGTTAAAGGAATAGTAGATATGTTGCATGAGAACTAATATCTGAAAGAGATCCCTGCCCCGGTACATGCTTTTGTCCGATACAGAAATATATATTATAAAGAATTGCTATATATGTTCACCATTTCAAAAAATGAAAAAAAATGATTGCATAATGATTATAGAGTCTGTACAGAAGTCCAGACTATAATTCTATTATGTACGCCGATATCTTTGGTTTTGCCCAATACACATATAATTAGAAAGAATGCCCGTATATCTTCACTTATTTCAACAAATAAAAGATAGTGCATATAAGTTTGTAGAGAAGTAAAAATATCTTGAAACAAGGGAATATTTACTTCTATTTTTCAACGCAAGTTACCAACTGTTTTATACTGACTTCTGGTCGGGGAAAATCCCGAAATTCACAAATTATAAAGTTCGTTGACAACAACTTCTTGCTCGGATCTAGCATCAGATGCCTTAATAACGCTGTATACAGGTTCGCATTCATTTCCATGGCTTGTATTCGCGGCTTCCACAGTTGGAGACGGCATGTGTTGGGGTGTTTGTAACTGGTTACCAATCTTCATTCGATATCTAAAATGTTCAAAAAGATATCATTTTGATACAGCAACCCTCAATATCAACAAAAAATAGCAAAGACTAAAATGGGTCATATGTATTTTATAAAAGTAAATTAATCATATTACGAAAAAAAATATTTTATTAAATTATTTTCAGCTTCAACACGTGAACACGTGTAAATATATGCTCGCAGCAAATAATCGATCGCATGCAAGTGATATGATAAAGTGAGTTGGTCGAATTCTGACAAATCAAAATTGTAAATCTAAAAACGAGGTCCCCCCATCCGTTTTTTTAAACGTTTCAATATATATATATATTGGATATATTACTTCGATACAGCACTTTTCGATTTTCCTCAGTCACACGAAGGATAACGCAAGTTTGAAATTCTTTGTTTGCAAATAATTTTGATATAGTTTAAAACGTGAGTTTCAACGAACTTTATCGAGAACAAACTGCATAAAACCTCCAAAAATGCGTTTCAAGGCGTCACTATATTATTCTTTTATTTCACACTAAGTTTATCATTTTGTAATACGTAGACACCAACCTGACAATCACCACAAGGAGAACGACCAAAACGATGAACAGTAGAACTCCAAAAATTATTGCAAGTTTGTAGTCCGAAGAAACTGCTTGATCTTGATCAGTAATGCCAGATAAAACGGTCGAGTGTTGAGTAGTCGTTGAAATCGGCTGTTCCGGTATAGATGGTGTAGTTTTTTGTATTGTTTCTTTTGCTGTTGTTTAAAATAAAAGCATGCTTTATCCTATGATATGAAGACGTGTAATCGAGCGTTCAATTGTTAGGCAGGTGGGGCACAGGAACAAACATAAACTTGTAATTGACTTCATTTCATAATAACGCATTCCCATTCAAAAAATCAATAATTAGGTCCTATATAGACTAAGAGTAGTCCTCCCCCATCCATCATGAAACAGTGGCAACTCCTAATAGACGTAACTGAGTCTAAACACTTATACAGATCTTACTTGTTGGTATTAATGGCTGGTAGATAATTTCCATTTCAAATTGTTGCCGATTGTTCGAAGCTCGTGATTCTGTAAAATACTTCACAGTAATCGGTAAAATATTCTTCATTTTGGTCCATATTACGTTGGTGCAATCATTGGCAATGGAAACGTCGACAAAGGTAGAGTTTTCGGGATAAAAGGCGAAGCAGTCGTTTTTATGGGATTTGCAAATGTTCCTGCTTCCACGATAATCTGCAAGGAAAATAAAATATATTCGATATCTTGTTTGATGCGATAGATGGTAAAAACTTTATACCTGAAATGGTTAGATATCCGCGGCATTGATAGTACCCACTATCTCTAAGACCCATCTCCGCCAATTTCAAGAGTAAAACCTCGTTTTGAAATTTACAATTTTGATTAGTCAGAATCCAACTAAAGCTGACTACGTTATATCCAGTATATCCGATAGATCTGATTGGTTGTGAGCATACACTTATTTTTTCTGCAAGAAGTCCGCGTGTCAACGCTGAAAATATAATTTAACAAATGAATGCTTTTCCTGAAATCATTGGATCACTTTTAAAAAGCAACTAATGCGACTTTTTCATTGTAGCCACACATAATCGTTTTTTTAGATGTTTCCCACTTGCTGGTATAATGCTTGATTAAACCAAATATACCAAATGTTGTACAATTCAAGAGTCCTGCTGTACAACAATACATTTTGGTAGTGTGCAGAAAGACTCTGAAATTGATTAGTATGGTCATGTTTATTCCTGTTGCAGCAGCCTTGCAATATACGCATACAGATCCACTGGCACAAACGCATTCGGGAAAGATTGGGAGTTAGTCTCACGTAATGTCTACTGTTAGTTATGCCAAATGTCGGTTGCTAATCAGTTTTCAGACGTTTATACTGGGCGGGAATGCATTCTGTCTTTGATATGAACTGTTGGAGTACGTAGGTTGAATGTCGGGTTTGCCATTCAGTGAGAATCTTGCAAAATACTTTACAAAACACAAAGTAGACCACGACCTCGTAGAACCGATAGTGGCGCGTATTCAAATGCAATGACTCAATTTTTATGCTTCGGAAATCCAAAAATAAAAAGGAGGTTTCGTCTTGTAGATTAGGATTTGAACCGACCAAAAAAAAAGAGCTCGCGATCTTGAAGTCCACGCTGCACCTCGTATCATAAATGTAATCATACCTCCATGCTCTTACAATTCTGAGAATGGCTTACTCAGACACTATTTAACTAGACTATAGCCAATTAAGGATCTAATCATAAAACTACGAATTCATTAGTCGATTTTGTCATTTGGCAGAACTAAATCACACGGCAACTTACCTAGAAGAAGAAACGTTTTAAGCATTTGTAATCCGGTTTTCTTCATTTAATTTGAACCCAACTAATATAGCCTACCTTACAAATGCACTTTCATTAAAGGAAACTAACACGTTTCGTGCTTCTCTGACTGAACAGCCCAACAAATCGAAACAAGCGTGTTCGTCTGCTCTTGCTGTGCTTATTGAATTTTTTCTTTACTTCAATTCACCTCTTCCTTCATTATGTAATTAACAGGAAATATTTGTAATAGGTATCTTGTCTCAACGAATGCAAATGTTTTATGTAACCTATTGTTATAAAAAGCCTCATTCTGCAGAAAAGCAATTCTAGCGTCTACTATGTAAAACAGGTAGTCAATTGAAATTTTCCTAATTTAATTGAAAGCTGTGAACTATCAGTTTCTACGATTAACAATTTCTCATCTCCCTTCCCAATTTTTTCTCATCTCCCTTCCTTATGTAAATGAAACAGAAATACTTGTAATAGGTCTCTTGTGTTAGCGTATGCAAAAATGAAATTGCCTCTTGTTGCAGAAAACCACCATGTGAATTACGGGCGATTCATTACCTCATGGTGAGTCACCTATGTGAAACTGGTATTCTTTTTAAATTTTAATTTCCATACATATTTCAGCCTCGGTTTCAGTTTCCATGAGTAATATATAAAATTTTAATTGTTTTGGAGTCGTAATTTTTAATTAAAAATGAAAGTTTTTTAGACGCCAATGTTTATGTCATTGAATAATTTTTGTTAATTAAGATTCGACGTCGGAATTTTTGATTCACTCGAATGGTGGCTCGGGGGTGTGGCCGATCTTCCTAAGACTTGGGGGAATACGCTCGCCAGCGCACCTCTGATTACTCTGCGTGGGTTCGCAGGTCGAATCATGTGAGGGATGATTATGTGCGGGAGGATTTCAGTGGCTGATAACTATGTTTTTTTACACAATAGAATATTAAATTTAAAATACAAGACGCAAAGCACCCTCGTCGAATGCATGATATTGAAAATTCAAAACATGATAAAGGTACTTACTGATTTGAAATAGAATTATTCAAATAAATATAATTCACAGAAAGTAATCAGTGAGATCCATCGGTACTTTATAAATTCTATTTCAGTCAATTCGAAAGCGCATAATATTTTAGTGGTGAATGTTCTCAATCTTGGTGTTTAGATTGTTCGCTAATAAGTTTTTCGTGTTTCTCAGAACAAGGAAGTGTTTTTTCAATGCCATTGACAATTTTGACTGAACTTTAGGGGCTGCATTTGTGCGTGCACTCACTCTCATTATACAAAGTAACGCAAAATCAACAGAAGTGATCAACAAATGAAATGCAACCTGAAACATTTAACGACTGACAACTTTTAACAGTATTGAGTTACAATGAAATTTCATTTAAACATTTCACGACTGACGCTTTTTAACAGTTACTTTTTATAAGTTGCCATGACAAAAAAGATTTACCTTAATTTTGCGTTACTTTTTTAACACCTGGTTAATTTTAAAACGTATCAAGTTGATCTGCTTCAACAGTTCAATCAGATTAAAAATATCGAATTACCGATACCGATAATTTAGTAGAACAAGTTTTTCTTTAGAAAAACAATTTAAATTTACATCAACTTATATTGCATGTTAAAAAATTGTCTCAAACATTTAAACCTTACGATCAAATTTGATTGCATCTATTTGCTTTCTATGTTTGTGAATCTCAACAACACAAGCTTAAATATTCTGCTTCTGGCTCCCATGTTCATGGCAAAGTCAAAATTAAGGAATATTTGCATATAATAAAATGCCATCAGTTACATTTCGTAACGTAAGTTTAGTTGGATTGTTGTTGGTATCAGAAAATATTGATTTTCTCCCACATATCAATATTCAAAGAGAAAGATTAAAACATTTATCAAGCCCAAATATGTCAATTATAGACAAAATTATGAGCAGGACAGAAGAAACCACTGTTTATTACGCCTTTATCTTGTTAGTGATGTTTTAATGTGTTCTTGACCCAAGAGTAATGGGACAACTAATCAAATATGATGTTTTGAAACCATTACTTATTTAGTGCTCCTTTACCATGGGGACTACCCTCTCGTTAGAATTTTAATGTATTTTTGCTGCTATTTCTAAACTCACTTTACAAGAATTACCTAGATGTGATTAGAAAATTGTTGCCTGGGATTATTTATCAACCTAGTGACGTCATTAACGCTGTAGATAATGTCTATATTTACAGACGGGTGATTCAACCTAAGTCATTCAGTGGTTGATTCGGATTGAACTGCATACAATAAAATCTGGATAAATATAGTAAGTGCTTTTATCAATATTTTAATATCCAATTGAGAATATGATCGCTATTTTCGTTTTTGTAACCTTACTAGTCACATCCTATCAGGCATTGTTTGAAGGGTTCTGTTACATCACGTTTAAATTTAAATTAAATTTGAATCAATGCGGTTTTTTTAATACAAAAAATAACAAATTCAACTGCCCGAAACTATCTACTTCACATGAATTGGACTTTAAATATTGCTGTGAAAAACGTATATGTGAGGTTTCTAGTGTGACATTGATTGTCTATGTGGCCTAATTAAACAAATCATCACTGGTGTAACAGCGTTACTCTTGAAGAATGACAACCGCCAACGCGAAACTGGTTGCTGCACGGTAACATTACGAATGCCAACCATTGGCACCCAACTACATTTCCGTGTGTAAAATCACTCTGTTGCGAAAATTATTCAGCAGTGATACTTACACAACACTTTGCACAATATAGTTGTACGTGTCATGCTATGATGCACCAGTTATGAGAAAAGTTGGCAACATAGTGGATGAGGAATCACCCAGATATCTAATCTCTATTTGCAATTTCAAGAAACATTTCTATTCAAGCAACGCGAGCGGAGAAGCAAACAATGATTCGTTGGACAGCGACAGGATGTTTTGCTTTTTATATATTAGCTCTCGTCAGTAAGTATTGCGATTTCATGGCATGGAATTTCAACGGAAACGGTTTGCTTAGTAAATCACTTACTACTGCTTTTGCTTGGAATAGGTAAAAAATTGGAAACAACTGGTTAGATTAGGTATATGGAGTGAGGATTTATAGTGTATTCAGTAGTATATAAACGTAAATATATAAAACGTTGGACAAATTGTTAGGGTAGGCATACTGAGCGATTCATGATATGTTCTAGATTAGAAAATGTATAAAACTTTCTCCATATGATTAAAGTAAACATATTAGGTGAGATTCATGGCATGGTCACCTCTAGCCTGTATGACAGAAGCAAAAAAGACTGGGTCGTGAAAAAGACGGCAATTTGAAACACGCTGTTGTTATCCGCAAACATTGCGATTTGTAATGTGTTTCAGAAAGTGTTTGTGTTCTGATCCATCGAATGACATTCAGCGTGAAGTACTTAACAGTTTGGGGGAATTGTACGAAATTGGCAGAGCGCTACTTTTATACGCTGTTCTTATAATTAAGGATTGTTTTATTCCACAAACCACTCTGAATATTGTTACATTATTTGTTCTCCATAAGCAATATCAGTAATATCTAAACAAAATGATATGGAACAACAAAGAAGGCAATGGGCCATTGTGTATATTGAAAATAATTTTATCATATCACGAAAAAAAAATTGTTGATTAAATTATTTTCAGCTCTGTCACACGGACTTCTTGCCGAAAACATAAATGTATGCTCACAATCAATCAGATCTATCGGATATAAGGGAAGTAGCAAAGTCAGCTTAAGTTGGACTCTGATTAATCAAAATTGCAAATCTGAAAACGTGGTTTTAATTTTGAGATTGGCGAAGATGTATCTCAAACCATACTCATTTACCATTTCAGGTGAGGTCTTTTATCAACAATATAGTATGGACAAAATCTCGAATATATTTTATCTTTCTTTGCAGCCTATCTTGAAAGCAAGAACATTTGTGACTACCCAGAAAACACCTGCTTCGTTTTTTATCCAAAAAATCTACTTGTATCGATCCCTCTATCGCCGAAAATTGCACCAATGTAAAATTGATCAGAATGGTGAATATTTTCCCGATTACTGTGGAGTATAATTCAAATATTGGAATCATTGGCAAATCTTTGGAATTGCAATCATCTATCTTTCTTCCAATTCATCAGGTAAAAAATATAAATGCTCTGTACTTAGAGTTAAAAGAAGCCTTTTATCTATATATTACCCTAATTAACATTATTACGACTCGCAAGGAAAACTAGCGCGGCCCGCGTTGAAGTGACAATTTTGAATGGTGCGCGGCCCGCAAACCGATATTTTAGTTTAGTTTTATCAGGTACATAGTGATTCCAATCCTTTGGGTTGCAATGCATATACCTGAGTCCAATTATTAGCTATACCTATGACGTCACAATGCTATAACAGCGGGCTTCAGTGAAACGAACAACGCATTTCATAAGATCAATAGCCAGAATTGTTGTGCATGCAACTACTAGTAAGCATATGTTGAATGACGGTTCGGCCCGTGATTTCACCCACTTCATTCATGTACATGTTAATTGTAACAACTCTTCTCCATCATATCTAACTTATTTTCCTTCGTAATACTACAAAATCTAAAATACTAGAAAGTAAAGTGAATTTTGGAGCTTGTACCCCAGCCAATTATTAACTACGCGGTCTATTAAAGAGTTGTTATACTAATATTGAACATGATTTCATTTGCAGATGACAAGACCACAACTGCACAGCAGATTTCAACAATCGTACAGTCGGTTTCAACAGCTTCACAGCCGGTTCCAACAACAGTAGAGCTGATATCAACAACTACCCAGCAATCCACCGTTCTGTCAAGCATTTCTGAACAAGTTCAAGCAGTATTCATTGACCGCACACTTGCAATACTTTTTGGGATTCTACTATTCATCGTCTTGATCGTTCTTTTTGTGATGATTACTTATTACAAGATAATATACTTGGTGTGACATAGAGTAATATATGATGACTGATCAACCGATATCTTCAGAGATATTGAACGTTTGTTCTGATAAATGAAAGTGTAAAAAAGTTATAGTCTCATACCAAAACATTTTCTTACATCTTCGGTAGGATGGGGTTGTTCGCTAG